GGTGTGTTGATGCCGGTGTGGTGGGGGCAGGTGTGTTGATGCCGGTATGGTGGGGGCAGGTGTGTTGATGCTGGTGTGGTGGGAGCAGGTGTATTGATGCTGGTGTGGTGGGGGCAGGTGTGTTGATGCCGGTGTGGTGGGGGCAGGTGTGTTGATGCCGGTGTGGTGGGGGCAGGTGTGTTGATGCCGGTATGGTGGGGGCAGGTGTGTTGATGCCGGTATGGTGGGGGCAGGTGTGTTGATGCTGGTGTGGTGGACCAGATGATGACTTCCCAACATAGTCAAGGTGTGGGGGGGGGGAATTCTAAGATAGAACCTTTAACAAATATTTCTGACCTCGACGCCACCTTGAGATTGCTTTGAAGATCAATGTCCTCGTGGTTGGCTATCTGGTCAACCAGGCTGTTAGACGTCTTCCAACAACCTCCTTACATATTGTAACCCCAATGACAACATTCTTGAACTGCCAGAAATGCAATTTAGACTATTATAGAACCGTCTTCAAAAGAGAATCATTATAAACAGTCTTTACGTAAATGCATTTATCAAATCACTGAAGTTCTAAGCTGCTATATGGTTTTTATAGCTTCATACTCTCTATCTTTATTTGTAATATATATATATATGAGCATTGACTATTTTAAGAATATGTTGACATAGCAACTAGCCGCATATTCCATGGTACATTAACAGGAATTGCAAAATGATGGGATGAAGCAGGATGGGTAATTATTAAAATATGAAATTACAATGGCATTAGAGAATACTTCACTACGGTTATAAAATACATACATATCAGGTCATCATTCAACTGTGTATGAGTGAATGTTTATACACACCAGCCAACAGGTGCCAACTTCTCTCTACAGCATGTAGAGTAACTTAAATGTGGCTACTACCACCGTAGAGTTATTTCCAATGGCGCCTAATGAATTGGACTACTCACAACCATCTCGCTACTGTCGCTTCTCCTGATAGTTCCCTTCCCCGCTGTCACTTTTCACTGCTCTTCTCATTAACAGTTCACTATTACCCCCAGAATGTCATTGTAGCCTGTCGCTAGTATCCATATTGATGTCTTCACTGAAAAAAATTATCTTAAATATCACCAAAACGTCATTCATTTTCACTAATGAATTTCACTGCACTTACACCACGTCACTGTCACTGACTTTCACGACACTGTTAACCTCAGCAGTCTTTTGTTAGACTCGGGTGTCACTGTTAGCCTCAGTAGTCAATGTGTACTATTTAGTAGTAGCAGTAGGCATCCATCAGTCTCAGGAGACTATGGAGTTGCGCTCTGGTGTCGGTCTGGTCTGGAGTGGCCTCACCAGGGCGCAAAACCAGGGTAGGTTGATTCGGGGAGAAGCTGTTACCCATGCAGCAGGTCCCCCCTCCTCTCCACGGCGCTGAAAGTCTCCAATGGAATGGCATACGCCGGCATACTAATTCTCACAAGTTCCGTGTACTATTTAAGAATCCACATAAGGCCATCCGAAATATCTACAAAATCATTTCAACTCTAATATATCCGTTGGATATATTTTGTACAAATTAAACATTATTATTATTATTATTATTATTATTATTATTATTATTATTATTATTATTATTATTATTAAAGTCAGTGATAAGTGTTGTAAACTCTGTGTCACTACATGTAAACTGAAATACTGTACTACCGTTATTCTGAAGTATTCAGGGTTGAAATTTCATGCAAAGTTTTATGTAATGTTTCAGGTTACAGCACAAAGCACAACACATTGCTGAATATAATTAGGTATATAGCTTGTATATTATGTATAAATATAGCTCCAGGATATAGCTTGTTCTTAATAGTGTTGCAGCAGGCAATGTTAACTTAAGGGTGTCTTTGATAATCTTATTATGTGGAGGTAAATGAAAGAAAACGAGGATGAATGTTTTGGTCCTTGTGTGTCGGTGTGTGTAGTGGTGGGCGTGGTGTGTGTGTGTGTGTGTGTAGTGGTGGGCGTGGTGTGTGTGTGTGTGTGTGTAGTGGTGGGTGTGTGTGTGTGTGTGGGTGTGTAGTGGTGGTCGTGGTGTGTGTGTGGGTGTGTGTAGTGTTGGGCGTGGTGTGTACTCACCTAGTTGTGCTTGCGGGGGTTGAGCTCTGGCTCTTTGGTCCCGCCTCTCAACCGTCAATCAACAGGTGTACAGATTCCTGAGCCTATTGGGCTCTATCATATCTACACTTGAAACTGTGTAAGGAGTCAGCCTCCACCACATCACTTCCTAATGCATTCCATTTGTCAATCACTCTGACACTAAAAAAAATTCTTTCTAATATCTCTGTGGCTCATTTGGGCGCTCAGTTTCCACCTGTGCCCCCTTGTGCGTGTGTCCCTTGTGTTAAATAGCCTGTCTTTATCTACCCTATCAATTCCCTTCAGAATCTTGAATGTGGTGATCATGTCCCCCCTAACTCTTCTGTCTTCCAGCGAAGTGAGGTTTAATTCCCGTAGTCTCTCCTCGTAGCTCATACCTCTCAGCTCGGGTACTAGTTTGGTGGCAAACCTTTGAACCTTTTCCAGTTTAGTCTTATCCTTGACTAGATATGGACTCCATGCTGGGGCTGCATACTCCAGGATTGGCCTGACATATGTGGTATACAAAGTTCTGAATGATTCTTTACACAAATTTCTGAATGCCAAATGTGTGTGGGTGTGTAGTGGTGGGCGTGGTGTGTGTGTGTGTGTGTGTGTGTGTGTAGTGGTGGTCGTGGTGTGTGTGGGTGTGTAGTGGTGGTCGTGGTGTGTGTGTGTGTGGGTGTGTAGTGGTGGTCGTGGTGTGTGTGTGTGTGGGTGTGTAGTGGTGGTCGTGGTGTGTGTGGGTGTGTAGTGGTGGTCGTGGTGTGTGTGTGTGTGTGTGGGTGTGTAGTGGTGTGTGTGTGTGTGTGTGTAGTGATGGGCGTGGTGTGTGTGTGTGTGGGTGTGTAGTGATGGGCGTGGTGTATGTGTGTGGGTGTAGTGATGGGCGTGGTATGTGGGTGTAGTGTGGCACATTGTTGGCACCCTCAGGGTGTGGTGGTGCCAACTGAACATTACGGATGACGCAAGGCCCGGGCCCCGCCCACCTCCTCATTCACACTCCTTCGTTAGTCCCTCTCTCATTCTCATCCTAATTTTCCCTCCTCATTCAGCATCTCATCGTCCTCATAAGCCTCATTTCTCAATTTTGTTTCCAAATTTGCTGTATGTCTACACACCTGAGTCGCAGGTGTGTAGGCATACCTGCATTGTGGTGGTTGTTGAGGAGCGGTTCCATCGGCGAATCCAGCATTCCTGGATGGTAGTCTGAGGTCGCTGCTCGATGTCCGATTCGTGACGGAGAGGGCGCTTGTGAAGACGGGTGACGGGGTGTTTGGTGACGGGTGACGGGGCGGGCGTCATTAAAGATGGGTGACTGGGCGGGAGTGGTTGGGAATGGGTGATGTGGTGGGTGTGTTTGTCTACGGGTGCGTCCCTAACAGGCTATACGACTGGGAGGTTCGATTCTTGGGCTCAAATCGTGACAGTCGAGTAATCAATGCGGTGCAACTTCACCCAATAAGTCATTTTTATAAGTCATTTTATTCGAGCAGAACCGTCCAAACCCAAGCAACCCACCAGTCATCGTACAAGATGCTTAGAAAACGGCAATATTATACTGCTTTAATTTGTACTGATATATCACATTTTTGAGGGATTTAGGTATATGATGTACAAAAAAAATGGGACTTATTTGACAAGGCTGTGGACCCATGACCTCATGTTCTGATCCTCACTACCTAGAACACACTAACTTTGCCCCTCGGTAATTTTCACATCAAAATCCTGTGTACTGTGGTTGTTCTCTCCTGTGATGTTTATGTCTGAGTCTGACTTGGCCTTCCCTCCACGTTCACACGTGTCTCTAGCCTCAGACGGTCCAATCACTTGAGCTGGACGGTAGAGCGACGGTCTGGCTTCATGCAGGTCGGCGTTCAATCCCCGTCCGTCCAAAGTTGTTGGTCACCATTCCTTTTTCCCTGTCCTGATCCCTTCCAAGTGCTATATAGTCGTAATGGCTTGACGCTTCCCCCCCCCCACCCCTGATAGTTCAAGTTCTAGCCCTTCAGGAGACCCTCAATGGTCTCTGCCACAATTTATACGGCGCTTCTGGCCTCCTGATCAACCAGGATACCTGATCAACCAGGCTGTGACTCATACGTCAGGCTGCGAGCAGCCGCGTCTAACAGCCTGGTTGATCAGTCCAGCAACCAGGAGGCCTGGTCGACGACCGGGCCGCGGGGACACTAAGCCCCGGAAACACCTCAAGGTAGCCAAGGTAGCCTCCTTCCTCGTATTAATTCTCACCAGTTAACATGCATAGATATGTTTCATGAGCCATTTGTCTGACAGCACATGCAGCCAGTTTAGGTCTTTTTAGTATTTTTCAGTCTCCTGTTGTAATTTACGAAATAATACAATTTCGCTGTTGGCATGGCTAGATAAGAAAATTAGACCCAACAGATCCTCGTGGGACACCACTTGTTCCATCGTGACTCTACCTCTCGCAAAGACTTTGTGTGTAGTCCAGGGAGGCGAGTTCGATCCCATAACAGTACTTCAGCATTTCCTCTATCGCCTTCTCAATAGATAAAGGTATCCAGTCTAGGGCCTTGCCTTTGTTAGTCAGGTTTGATTCTCCTTTTGCGGTGTGACGGTGTGTGTGTGTGTGATGGGAACCTGCTTGATACCTGCTTGATGGGGTTCTGGGAGTTGTTCTACTCCCCAAGCCCGGCCTGAGGCCAGGCTCGACTAGTGAGAGTTTGGTCCACCAGGCTGTTGCTTGGAGCAGCCCGCAGGCCCACATACCCACCACAGCCCGGCTGATACAGGTCGAAATTGGGTGTTGCGGTATTGTTGGGTGTGAGCGATGGCTGGGTGCTGGACGTGGTAATGTATGGGGTGCAGGGCGTGCCAGTATGTGTAATACAATTTATTTTCCTCCTGCAGGTGAGGCGGGCCGGGCGGCGTGTCTCTGCGACCTCCACAATTATGGTAAGATGCAGTGCCACTCCTTGTCATTGTGTGTGCTTACGTGGCCACCTCCCAGCCACCATGCCGACCACAACCTCTCCTACCACCACCACCACCACCACCATTTTCCTACCATCACCTGTGCGCCTTCGCAGTTATTCATCTACCCCTTAAGTCTCCTTGGGCGTTTCCCTTGTCAGTGTTGGCCAGTACACCTGCCTGTGTGACATGTCCTTGATACTGTGTATTGACGGTGGCCCGCGTGCAGCTGTTGGACCCTATATTATTGGACAACCGAGTTAGATTATACCATTATCCCAGGGCTTTTTGGGACGAGTGCGACGCTCATTCCCTTTCCTGGTGGATAAACAGATCACATAGGATCATCTGGAGGAACACCAAGCTAAAAGCAGATTTTATTTGTGGGTAGCATTTACCCCTGTTAGACCTTGATCAACTATTTACAGGCGAAACACTTTTGTCCACAAAGTCTTTTTTTTTCGATTCTCAACCTCGTGTTGCTCCTCACTATTTCCCAGCGCGTGTTGATGTGGGTCTTGTGATCACCTCCCAGGCATGTCTGTGCGAGCAGGTGATAGATACTGGCTTACCCCTAAGAACTGCATGATACTATGGTGATGTATTTAATATGGCAGCATGCACGGATTATTCCGACTTCACGAACGAATGAGCAAGCATGTATAATAATAATAATAATAATAATAATAATAATAATAATAATAAAGTGGTATGATGAGCAGTGTGTTATGTTAAAGCTAACGACGTAACCAGGCACATAAGATCATCCTACACTGCTGATACCAGCCGCCCCTCTTCACTAAAATATTATAACTGTTGATAACTAGATCATTACTGGTGTAACTGTACAGGCCGTCCACAGTTGTCACAATGGACAGAAAATGTTGTACTAAATTGCCGGAACCTAACGTGATCTATGGACCCATAGAAAAACGGGGTTTGTGAGACACTGTGACTTACAGTACATTATATTTTGTTCGTTGGGGATTTTGACATCTAGATTCGATGTATTATTCGCGAGGACAGGTTGGACTGTAAGCCCTTTATTAAATTTATAGTAGATCTTGAAAATTAAAGTACCTGAAAAAATGGACTTTCAATCTGCGACAAGCAACAGCCTTTCAAATCACATTTTCACAAGACCATCCTGGGGAATAGGAGACCTCTGAAAATTGACTACAGGTAAACTTCAGGTACCACATTGTGTGTGTGATATGAGCGCAGGTGTGACCAAGGTTCCAAATTCTTCCTTGTCTGCCCATAAACATCTCCCAAATCTCCTTCGTGTGTTTATAAAAAAAAAGGTTGTGTGAAGGCATTGTTTACATAGTTCAATCCACGTGCAAGCACTAGTCGTGTAGGTAATCTTTAGATCCTGCTCTTGGGACGTTTGGCCACCCTAGTGCTCGTCTGTTTCAGGAGAGATGCCAGTGTGTTTGGTGGCTCGTTGACTCACTCCCTGGTCACTGCTTCCACGCTCGGTGTAGTGCTACTTTTACTAGTTATTCACCGGGACCTGGCGTCCACCGCCACACCAGGTCCTGGCGTCTAACGCCACACCAGGTCCTGGCGTCCACCGCCACACCAGGTCCTGGCGTCCAACGCCACACCAGGTCCTGGCGTCTAACGCCACACCAGGTCCTGGCGTCCACCGCCACACCAGGTCCTGGCGTCCACCGCCACACCAGGTCCTGGCGTCTAACGCCACACCAGGTCCTGGCGTCCACCGCCACACCAGGTCCTGGCGTCCACCGCCACACCAGGTCCTGGCGTCCACCGCCACACCAGGTCCTGGCGTCTAACGCCACACCAGGTCCTGGCGTCTACCACCACGCCAGGTTCTGGCGTCCACCGCCACACCAGGTCCTGGCGTCCACCGCCACACCAGGTCCTGGCGTCCACCGCCACACCAGGTCCTGGCGTCCACCGCCACACCAGGTCCTGGCGTCCACCGCCACACCAGGTCCTAGCGTCCACCAAAAAGAGAGCCAAAGTGTGGTGTTGTGAGGGTAGAGAAGCAGGGCTGATATGTTAGCTTAACCACGTGAACAATTGAGTGGTCAATCTTGATTTACCAAGACACATTTCAACTCGTTAACCAAACTCATCCACAATTGTGATAAGCAGTTTAAGCGTAGAACAAGAGTTATTCGAAAGGGAGTTTGCCAAGTAACTGTGCTTGGTACTTGCATTTGATGACTCATTTGAGGCATTCGAAAGTCCACCGCAGCTATCTTCTCAACGTCATGGGGTCGAGTATTGAACCCAGCAACAGGGTGGCTCTCATAGACAAAATTATTTTGACCCACGTTTTAATTAATTTAATCAGTCACATGCAGGCTTATGCAGCAGCAGCATCGTCTGTAGTAGGGAAGAGCTTCTTAATAAATTAACAAATATGAATAGGAAGAACAAGCAAACATTGAATGCCATAACGGGGTGAGCCAGACTGTAGGAACATTGAAGAACAAGGAAGTTATTGTTTTATGATAGGGACTGATTCCTGGATACATAAACAGATAGTAAACAGGTCGGAGTGACCAGGCACAGTGAGACCTCTGACGCCTGTCTCTAGCACCGAGCAAGCACTGGTTTCCGGACACTCAGCGAGCTTTGGTCTCCGGACACCTCGCGAGCACCGGTCTCCGGACACCCTGCGAGCATAATCACCACCAGCGCCACCACCACCACCATAATCACCACCTATACCACTACCACCACCATAATCACCGCCAGCACCACCTGGACTGAACTGTGAAGCACTAGTGGGATTTAGCGTCAAGCAGATCTGTCTGGTATAAATCGGCATAATTCAGCATTTACTGACTTTGCTTTTTTGTGAAGTTGGCTTGCGCAAGTGGTGTGCTAATAATGTCTGGCTGGATGGCTTTAACCTGTCCAATTAATAAAACATTTAAGTTTTAGTGTTATTACTGCTGGTGTGAGTCGAGATATTATTAATTCAACCGCCCGCGTGCCAGGCTCAGCCGCCCGCGAGCCAGGCTCAGCCGCCCGCGTGCTAGGCTCAGCCGCCCGCGTGCTAGGCTCAGCCGCCCGCGTGCCAGGCTCAGCCGCCCGCGAGCCAGGCTCAGCCGCCCGCGAGCCAGGCTCAGCCGCCCGCGTGCCAGGCTCAGCCGCCCGCGTGCCAGGCTCAGCCGCCTGCGTGATAGGTTCAGCCGCCCGCGTGCCAGGTTACCTATCTTGTGGCTACTTTGTGGTGCTTTCGGGGGTCAACGTTCCCCGTGGCCCGGTATCTGGCCAGGCCTCCTGGTTGGTGGTCTGGTCAACCAGGCACTTGGTCGATGGCCTAGTCAATCAGGCTCTTGGACGGTGGCCTAGTCAACCAGGCTCTTGGACGGTTGCCTAATCAACCAGGCTTTTGGACGCAGCTGCTCACAGCCTGACGAATGAAGCACAGCCTGAAAATCAAGTATCCATAAGCGTTTATAGAGTTCTCTCATGAAAACCATGAGAGGTCAGCCAGTCAGCCTCATGTGTAAAGGGAGAATGGGGATTTCATGTTAATTGTTTCTCTTTTTCTCTCTCTCTTTTTCTCTCTCCTTTCTGTCTCTCCTCTCTGTCCCTCTCTCCTCTCTGTCCCTCTCTCCTCTCTGTCCCTCTCTTCTCTCCGTCTCTCTCTCCTCTCCGTCCCTCTCTCCTCTCCGTCCCTCTCTCCTCTCCGTCCCTCTCTCCTCTCCGTCCCTCTCTCTCTCTCTCTCTCTCTCTCTCTCTCTCTCTCTCTCTCTCTCTCTCTCTCTCTCTCTCAACGTACCTTTTGCACCTCTGCTTTTCAATGGAGCTATTTTTCACATCCTGCCATGCCTTTTAGTGATGTTATTTCTGTGTGAATTTGGCACTATTCCCTCTAATATTTTCCAGGTGTAAATTATAATAAATATCGCCTGCGCTCTAGAGAATACAGATTTAAACATTTTTAATAGGTTCCAATAATTTATATGTTTTATAGAATGGATTCTAGCAGTAAAAGATCTTTGCACATATTGCTGATCCAGGTCAGCAATTTCTCCAGCTTTGAATGGGGCTGTTGGTGTGCAACAATATTCTACCATAGAGAACACTAGTGTTTTGAAAAGTATGATCACTGGTATGAGATCTCTTGTTTGAAAGGTTCTTGTTATCCAACCTGTCATTTTTCTTGTAGTTGCGACAGCTACTTTATTGTGTTCTTTAAAAGGTAAGGTTTTCCGACATGATTACTCTCAGATCATATTTACATTGCGTACTAGGCTCAGCCGCCCACGCGCCAAGCTCAGCCGCTCGCGCGTCAGGTTTTAACCGCCAATGCGCCAGGTGCTATGTTTCAGAATGATTCTCTTATGTATACTTTGCCTCGCTTCAAGTTATACATGCAATGGTGGTGATGCAGATAGTTCTGCATATAACAGGGGTGTTGAATATACAACCCTTCTGTTAGCTATATTATAGGTATTGGTGGTTCTGTCTGCTGCCTTTACTCTTGTAAAAGGGAAGGGAACTATCAGGAGAATCATTATGACTATATAGCACTTGGAAGGGATCGGGATAAGGATTTGAGATGGGACGGGGGAAAGAAATGGTGCCCAACCACTTGTATACGGTTGGAGATTGAACACTGACCTGCATCAAGCGAGACCGCCGCTCTACCGTCCAGCCCAAGTGGTTGGACATCCTCTTGGAAAAGGGAACTTCATTGTGGTTTTCTGCTGCTCTTGCTGCTATCTCCTACATTCTCTAATGACAAAAAATGAGTATTTAATATTAAAGAAGGAACCGGCGATGGATTGCACGCGTCTTCAAGAAGCTACTAGTTATGCATCCTTAATGCCTTTTGTCTTGTTTGATAAAGACTTAAAGCGCGAAAAGTCATCTTCAATCAATTCTACTATGGTCTTAGTGGCTTTTCTTACATATCATTTTTTTCCTGATTTAATTTATACGGAGGTTTTTAGTGCATTTCTATGAATGGCTCCAGGTAAACTGCA